AAGAAAATCGTCCGATGCTTACAACATCGAGCAAAAGTCATAAGTGGCGATCCAGAGACGTTAGATAAAAATTGGTCAGTATAAGTAGTACCCTACAACGCAACAACTACCCTGGGTACATGGCAGCAGCCCCCCAAAAACTGGGATAGGCGGGTACAAGAGGAGGAGGAGGAGAAGGAGGACAACAACACTCAGAAAACAGTCTGCCTGCCTTATGTGAAGGGGTTATCAGAGAAAATACAAAGGATCTGCGGTCCATATAACATCAGGACAACCTTCAAAAGCGTGACAACACTTCGCAGGTATCTCTCACGAGTGAGACCCCCATAGAGAGGAACATGACTAAAGACTGTGTGTACGCTATCCCATGCAGCTGCGGAAAGGAATATAAAGGAGAGACAGGCCGCCCCCTCAAGGTAAGGCTTCAAGAACACCAGAAAGCTGTAACGCGAGGGGAAGTAGAAAAAAAATCAGGCGTGGCTGACCACATATGGAGAGAGAAGGAGATCACCGCCCCTGTGTGGGATCATGTTGAGATCATAGACAGGAACACCATTGGAAAATTCGTAAACTTAAGGAATCAGCACATATGCTAGGCCACAAAAATCTCCTGAGCCGACCAAGCATAGAAATAAATACAATATGGGAACCAGTAATAAGGAGTGCCAGAGAAAAAGCAATGATAACAAAAAGTTGCAATATGAACTCTGGTAAAAACATGCAATGATAACAGCAAAAATTGCAATATGAGCACTGGTAAAAATGATGCTGAAAACATTAGGTTTATAATACTCAGAAGTTCATACCCAGATGTCCTCCTCAAGGACACATGGCACAGTGGATAAAGGCGTTGGTTAGATCCAGTGACAGACCCAAAGAAGGTGAGTTCAATTCCTGGTTAAGGCAGTGGAGAACTTTCAGAGGGAAAATTAGCAGGAGATAACTGATAACTGACATCCATCAAACATGGCACGTGGAATTAGAACAGTCTACCCCAGCGATCGAAATAAAGGGTTCAGTTCGAAATTCCAACCACCTGAAGAAGGCCGGAGCGTACAACGGCCGAAACGTTGTGACAAATATGGCGACAAAGATGAGGACAATAGTCCGACTAATGTAAATACTGTACATAATACCTCATCTCAGAAATATAGACAAAATCTATCTGTCTATCTATCAAGATATTTTCGTTGGATATTCTTCGGAGTAATTGTTACTTCTTGTTGCCCACCCACTCCCGTCATCTTGTGTATCCATTGTTGCCTTTTTTTTTTCGTCTTCGTCTGAATTACAAATGTTTTGTTTTTTTGTTTTGGAATGATCATCTAAACCGAAATATGTTTCATTTCAATTCCATTAATTTCTTAGATATAAATACAGAAGTATGAACAAAGGATAGACACCCACAAAAAGGGCCAGAATATTTCAAAAATTAAAAGAGACGTTTGATCCGTATGTTAATTTTCCTTAATTTATACCGGTGTAGTCTGTATTGGACACAAATAAATTCAAGGTCAATCTTTTTTTTTAACAACAGACGCCAAGACCCGAATTAAATATTGTGAAAAGGGAAGTGATGGAATTTTATGTTCAATTTCCTGAGAAAGCTTTTAAATTGAAAACCCAAATTTTTTGAAAAAAGTAGGTCAATCAATTTTCATCTTTTGCCGTCGGAAGAAAAAGCCAAATAGTTGACAGGCTGTAGTCTAACTTCTTCGACGGTCAGGATTCAGATTTGAATATTTTATTTTGTTAGAAAAGCAAATATATATACTGATTAAATAGGGTGCTAAATTTTTATTTGAAGACCATCTTGGTTTTCCACTGTCGCCCCTACTTTTTTTCTGAAGAAACTGTTGATGGAAATCCGGCCCTAAGAAATGAATTTAAATTGAATTTTTGATCCAGGGTTTTATGTGTTCGTTAATGACGTATCCATTTTCGTGTCATGCCGCATCGACGTTGAGGTGGAACAGAAGGCGCTTGAACGACAAGAAAATGTCACAGAGGTAAAGATTCACTCGAAAAGTCTTCCGATATTCAAAATGGGTTTCTCCATTTAATTATCTCTCTTCCGGGACCCCTTCAAAATTTAAGACTGATGGTCCTGTCTTCATTCTTGGAATATGGTTTTTAAAAAACCTAACCTGTATTTAGCTTTTTAAAAAAATTTATAAGTAAGGCAAAGATTGGAAAAAGTCGGTTAAACTTGGCTCATTAAGGAGGTTGTCTTTTTGGTAGAGCTGAGGCGTGTGTCAGTAATACGTTTTTCCTCTCGTCCTTTACCGCTTTATATATGTATTTCCTCTTTGCATGGACCATAGGAATGCGATGGAGGTTTACTGTTAACCCTCTTTTATATGGGCGCAATCAGAATGTTCAAAAAGTAGCTTGTGCCCAATTTCTGTGTCAGTTTTGGGCTGGGATTGCCGCACTTGGATTTATATAATTTTATACGCCTCATATTTTGTCTTGACAATTAATTCGATTTTTTGGGGAGTGTTATTTTAACGCCTTCCTAACAAAAACTATCACATTTGGATAATCCTCCCATTAATCGAACAGCCTTGATTTTTTTTTCCTCAATATCCAGTGACCTTTTCAAAATCGAAAGGACTTGCATCGTGAATTAATGGAGGGGTCGCGAAAGGAACCCTCTGTGAATGGGTCTTCAAAAAATCGCTGGTCTAAATGCGCTCTTTTTGGTCTTGGGCAAGAAAATCGAATTACCTCAGTAAACCCTGAATTTTCGCTTACCTGGCGATTGATCCGAAAATATGCTTATCTCAAAGACATGGCCTTCAGATGGGTCTTTTATTTGGATTTGCCCGGACTGTTAATTTGAATGACCTTGATTTTGAAGAATTAGCGTTAAAATGGCTTTTTTTAAAAATTCCTCAGGTACGCCCTTTCTGGAACTATGTCGGCAAGCTGACGGCTCGTATTTTTATTAAATCTGCTTGTGCTCATCGATCTTGTAAAATACGCGTTATTTTTTGTGTTTGACGCCCCGTAATCTTTAAAATGAAACGAATGATGTTTCTAACGTTGCAAGATATAACCGTGGCAAAATGGTGATCTGGATGATTCGAAAGGAGGGGATCTTGCGCCAAGAACGCTATTCTCTATTTTTGTTGTTTCTGTTGCTTCAAGACTCTTCTTCATCTGTGAAGAGATTGTCTCTGCACTCACTGCCATATAGGAGGATTGATATTACACAACATTTCAGTATTAGTTTCTTTCATTATGTTGTTTCAAGACTCTGTGAGGAGATTGCAAATCTTTCACTGCCAGAGAGAATGACTTATATTACGTAACAGTTAAGTAATCTTTGTTTCTGTTGCGTTAAATATCTTCTTCATCTGTGTGGAGATTGTCCATGCATTCATTGTCATACAGGAGGACTGATATTACAGAACAGTTCAGTATCTTGTTCTTTGTTTCTAACAGATTTTTCTCGCATTCTTAATAATTTGCTTCTCATTTTGAACGTATGATTTGCTGTGTCAATGCGTCTTCGTATTTCATTTTCAATCCATAGTATTCTCAGCATTCTTCTTTACAGCCATAATTCTTTTGGCTCAAGTCTTCATCTGTCTGAATATTGTTCAGCATTCACTGCCATATATGGGGACATGTATTACGTATCAGTTTTGTACCCTTTTTTTACGTTCCAAGTGAATTTGTTTGCTTCTTGAAAGAATGTCTCTAAATTCTGGAAGCCCTATGCAAAAATAGAAATGGAATTTTCAACAAGATCTTATTGAATTGGAATATTAAAAATACCCATATATATTCAATATGATTTCCATTATTTGTAATGTAAAGCTTGGTGCTTTTTTAATGATTCGCGTTAACTCCATATAATAACTCCATATTGCCGCCAATTTTAGTTCGTTCATTCTTTATGCGTCCAGCCAAGTGTGTTGCATCTGTTGTTTTCATTGAGTACACCTTCTCCTTTTGCATACCCAAGAAAAAGAAGTCAATTCGTTCTGCTTTTGATAAAACGATGTTTAATCTGTGGAGGTAAAAAAGTATATAATTAATAAGATTTTCTGCTTGTCCAGACTTTAGGAACCACGGTATATCTGTTTTTTTTTGTTGTTGTTGTTGTTTTTTTTTTTTATATACGCACTTCAGTATATGAACTATGGATAAAAATATTTTGTTTTAATGTTGGCTGTTTCTTTTATATTATAATTGGCTTCTAAAATCATGAGTCGTTATTAGCCATACATACACCACTCTCTCTCGGAGGTTGACTTGTAATATGTGCAATTCGTTCACATACACAAACAACCAAAATATTATCATTTTTTATGCTTATTAAATATATCAAAGTCATCTTATGTATTTTGTAGACATTTCAGCATACCATATTAGAAGAAAAGTGTTTATTTAATGTTGATTTTTTTCTTTGAATTATATTGGCTTCTAGAATTCTGAGCACCCACCGCTCAAATTGTCAGTTCCCATTTTTGGGACGTCTCAGGCGCCGGCAATAAATCCATCTCCATTCCGAGGGAGAGGCATTGCCTGGGGTGAAGGCCCCCCTTTTTTTTATTAAAAAATTTTTGAATTTTGAACAAAAAATTTTTTTTTTTATTTTTTCAACTACCAAAATTTTTCCAAAAAAAAATAACATTTTTTTTCACGCCCGTTTTTTTCAAACCACGGAAACCAAATAATAATTTTCCAAAAAATCCGGTTACCATAAATAACATCGTCTGTTGAGTTATTTTGTAAATTTATGTTCGGAAGACGGGATTTGACTGGTTTTAATAATTTAAAAATTAGCATTGTGATATTTTCTTTAAATTTTCTCTGACATTCATTCACTAATTGTTTAAGAATTTTATTTCGTTTTTTAAAACTCATTCTGTTTTTTTAATTTAATTCTTTTTGCAATCGATTTTTTAATGTATTCTGTGTCTTATTTGTTTTCCTGTTTCGTTCACTCGTTTTCTTTCGATTCTTAATTCTTTGTTTCCTTCAATATGTCTTCTCTTCATTTTCCTTGTCTTCTTTTTTACGTTTTTTCCTTCTTTCTCTTTTCTTTTCTTTTGATTCTTTTTCCTTCATCCATTTTCCATGCTTACTGTTCTCTGTGCGTTTCACATCCATCACTTTCATAACTAGGGCTTCGTTTTGTTGTTTTCAATTCCATTTCTTCTTTATTTCTCTTTTTCTTGCCTTTAATTTTTTTTCCATTTATTTCTTTCCCTTTAATTTTATTTGTAACACCTGCTCCCACATTTTGCCCTCACGTTTTTTTAGCCATTTATCTTTCTTTCTTTCATTTTTCTTTCTTTCTTTCTTTCTTTCTTTCTTTCTTTCTTTCTTTTTTCTTTCTTAGCGTGTAAATAAAACTATACGGGTTTGTTATCGTTACTCTTCTTTAACTACTTTTTCTTTGGGTTTGATTCTTTCTTTCTTTCTTTCTTTCTTTCTTTCTTTCTTTCTTAGCGTGTAAATAAAACTATACGGGTTTGTTATCGTTACTCTTCTTTAACTACTTTTTCTTTGGGTTTGATTCTTTCTTTCTTTTCTTTTTTTTCTTTTCTTTCTTAGCGTGTAAATAAAACTATACGGGTTTGTTATCGTTACTCTTCTTTAACTACTTTTTCTTTGGGTTTGATTCTTTCTTTCTTTCTTTCTTTCTTTCTTTCTTAGCGTGTAAATAAAACTATACGGGTTTGTTATCGTTACTCTTCTTTAACTACTTTTTCTTTGGGTTTGATTCTTTCTTTCTTTCTTTCTTTACCTGAAACAAAACTTCACGTCCCGTTACTCTTCCTGCCTATAAATCTTTCTTCCGTCGTTTCTTCACCTGTAACAAAAGTGTACATCATTTTCAGCTACTCTTCCTTCCTTCCTTCCTTCCTTCCTTCCTTCCTTCCTTTCTTTCTTCCATCCTTCTCTCCTTCCTTTCTTCATCTGGAACAAAAGCGCACGCCACATTCGTTATTCTTTCTTTCTTTCTTTCTTTCTTTCTTCTGCTGGAACAAAAGTGTCTCTTTCCGTTACTCTTTCTTCTTTCATTTGTTTTTTCCTTCCTCCCCCTGGAACAAAAGCGCACGTCATTTTCCGTTACTTTTCCTTCCTTCCTTTCTCCCTCCCTTCCTTCTTTCCTTCTTTTCTTCCTTCCTTCCTAACTTCCTTCTTTCCTTCCTACTTCCTTTCCTACTTTTCTTCCTACCTTCTTTCCTAACTTCCTTCTTAACTTCCTTCCTTCCTACTTTTCTTCCTACCTTCTTTCCTAACTTCCTTCTTAACTTCCTTCCTTCATTCCTTCCTACTTTCCTTCCTACCTTTATTCCTTCCTTCCTTCCTATCTTCCTTCCTTTCAAAAAACAACCTTTTTCCTTTAAATTTTTATTCCTTCCTTCCTTCCTTTTCCTTCCTTCCTTCCTTCCTTCCTTTTTTCTTCCTTCCTTCTTCTCCTTCCTTTCTTCATCTGGAACAAAATCTTCGAATCGCCACATTCGTTTATTTTTCTTTTTCTTTCTTTCTTTTCTTTCTTTCTTTTTCTTCTGGAACAAAGTTCTCTTTCCGTTACTCTTTCTTCTTTCATTTTTTTTTCTTTCTTTTTTGAACAAAAGAAAAAATTTCCTTTTTCTTTCCTTCCTTCCTTTTCTTCCTTGTGTTTGCAATTCCTTCCTTCCTTCCTTTATCCTTCCTTCTTAAAAAATTTGTCGCTTTTGTCCTTCTTTCCTTCCTACTTTCCTTCCTTCCTTCCTTCCTTCATTCCTTCCTTCCTTCCTTTTTTCCTTCCTTCCTTTCTTTCTTCTTAATATTTTTGCCTTCCTTGACTTTCCTTTATTTATCCTATTTATTCATTCCTTCCTAATTTCCTTCTTCCTTCCTTCCCTTTTCCTTCCTTCCTTCCTTCCTTCCTTCCTTCCTACTTTCCTTCCTTTCTTCCTTATTTGTAACTTCCTTCCTATAAATCTAAATTCCTTTTAATTTCCTTCCTTCCACCCTTCCTTCCTTCCTTCAAAATCCAAAAAAAAATTGTAAAATTTTTTTTTTTACTTCATCTTTTCTTTCTTTTTCTTTCTTTCTTTACTGGATCAAAGCATTATCCCATATTCTCCCATCCTTTATTTTTTTTCTTTTTTCTTTCCTTCACAAAAAAACAGAAAGTTAAGTCTGTTTTAAACTTGGATAAGCATGGAATAATAATAATACAACACAAAATGTACGTAAACAAAATGTATTGAAACAAGGAAAAGGTACAAATATTTACAGTTAGTTTTGGTATATTCTTGGGAAGACTGTTCCTGCAGAATGGGTTGACTAAATCGCAGTCAGGCAAGTCTCTGATTCAAATTTTCTTAATTCCACTATTTTTCCGTCTTCCGGTACCAACCCATATTTATATGGTCGGTACTCCACTTATGTAAATTAGGTGTATCGTACCACAACAAAGTCCCTTTTCCTTACTCATCCTTCCTTTATTCTTTCCTTCCTTCTTTCCTTCCTACCTTCCTTCCTTCATCTAAAACAAAGTGTAAATCTCTTTAGTTCCTCTTCTTTCTTTTCTTTCTTCCTTTCTTCACATGGTACAAAAGTGTAAATGCTTTCTGTTACTCTTCTCTCTTTACTTTAGTTCGTATTTCGATTCCTTCTTTCTTTCACCTGGGACAACATTTTAAAATTTGCCTTTCCGTTTTCCTTGGATATCTTCTTCTTTCTTTTTTCTTTCTTTCTTTCATTTTATGTATCTTTTAAAACTATAAGTTCCCCTACGTTAGTCTTCCTTCTTTATTTCTTTCTTTCTTGCTTCCTATCTTCCTTCCTTCTTTCACTTGGAACAATCGCATACGATCCTTTCCGTTACCCTTTCCATATTTTCTTCCTTCCTTCAACTGGAACAAAATTATAAGTCTCTATTCTGTCTAAATTTTTAGGATTGAAGAAATTTTATAAATACATATGCATATAAAAAATTAAAATTAATTCCTTTTGTTGTTTTTATCAATAAAAAATATCGGCCGTTAAAATGTCCTGGTTCTTCCTCAGATGTTTATCGATCTGGGCAAATGAATATTTAAAAAGCTCAAAAACTTTATTTAATTTCCGGGGTAAAATTCAATGTCTCATTTTTATGTCTTCGGATATCGTCTAATTCGTATTTTAATTTCAACTGTTCAGTTTCTGACCTTCAAAAGTTTTTGCCTGAACTAACATTGAACGGATAACGACCATGTCACCAAATTCACAATCCAAGGCTCCTTTCGTAACTCTTCCTTCCTTCCATCCTTCTTCCTTGCTTGCTTTTCCCTTACTTTCTTTCTTTCTTTCTTTACTCATACTACCACAACGAGGATGTCACCAAATTCAAATCCATTAATTTTTAATAACTCTTTATCCTTTTTATTTATGAAACTCTTTCCTTCTTATCTCATTCCATATATATATTTGTCAAATATTCACCCTTTTTTTTCTTTCATTTTTTCTTTTCTTTTTTTTTTCTTTCTTTTAAGAATTTTCTTTTTTTATTACTACCACGACGAAGATGTCACCAAATTCACAATCAATATTTTTTTTTAAAATTCCTTCCTTCCTTCCTTCCTTCCTTCCTTCCTTCAAATTTGGATTCCTATTCATTTTCCTTCCTTCGTTCTTTTTTCTTTTTTTTTTTTTATAAATCTTTCGTTATTACATCCTTCTATTCTTTCTTTCTTTCTTTCTTTCTTTCTTTCTTTACGTAGCAAAAAGTATGTGTCTTTTCGTTACTCACCATTTTTCCTTCTACGCATTCTTTCTTTCTTTCTTTCTTTCTTTCTTTCTTTCGTTACTCATTCTTCCTTCTATGCTTTCTTCCTTTCCTTCTTTACGTGGCACAAAAGTATGTTTCTTTTCGTTACTCATCCTTTCTTCCTTCTATTTAAATCTTTCTTTTCTTTCTTTCTTTCACCTTCATATTTTTCCTTCTATGTTTTTTCTTTTTTTTTTTCTTTCTTTCTTTCTTTTTTTTTTATTGCACAAAATCCTGTTTTAACCTTCGTTACTTATCCTTTCTTCCTTCTATGATTTCTTTCTTTTTTGTTATTTTTGAATTTTTTTTTCCTTCTCTCTAACCCTCCCATTCATCTTTTGGATTGTTTTTTTTCTTTTCCTCTTAATTCCAAATTTCTTTAATTATTCACAAATTAGTCGTCATCTTTTTTCTATCTATTTATTATTTTTTAATTTCTATCTTCTATCTTCTCTATTTATCCCCCATCTCTCTCTCTATCTCTCTCTTCTCTCCATTTTTTATTCTCTTGATTATATATTTTATCCTTCTTTCTCTTTCATTTGCATTCAATAGTTCAGTAAGTCTTCCCATCTAATGATTGTTCGGATTTCAATATTAATACAAATGAGTTGTCTATCTTCTAAAGAAGCTGCGAATGTGCAGTGGACGCAATTCGTTCATAATATATTCATATATATATATATATATATTATCTATTCCCATATATATATATTTACATTATGGTGCCGGATCAACAAGACATTATATCTCCTTATCAACATTTAAAAACATATTTTCCTTTCTTTCTTTTTTTTTTTTAAAAACGTTTTCTTTTTTTCTTTCCTGTATCTTTTATCTGGATTCTTTGTATATATATATATATATATATATATAATTTTTTTTTTTATTTTTTTTCCAATCTTTTTGGTATTATCCATAGTCTTTGTAATTCGTTCTTTATAGAGTTTCTAATTTAATCTGTTAAAACATTCTATACAATCAATTCTAAAACAGAAATAAATAATAATAGAATAAACATTTGATATATATATATTTTCCATTGACATACGGCTGATTGGAGATTATGATGACTTTGTTTTAACTGACACCTTTTACAGAGTTTGTTAATTAAAATGAAAGAAATTTTATATTAAACGACATGAAATTATAAAAATTGTTGATTGGCCTTTCTTTCTTTCTTCTAATCTTTTGCTGAAATTTAAATTTTACAACGTTCTTTTTAATCTTCAATTATAAATGTTTTTAAACAAAATTCAATTATTTAATATGGATATATTTCTGTATATCTTATTATTTTTAGACATTATTCAAATATCATGATGTAATCTTTTAAACCTATATTTATTATAATTGAATTTATCTATATATTTATAATAATTTATAAATATATCTTTTTATATATATATATATATAAATATATATATCATTCTATTTAAAAATATATAATGTAATGATTATTTTTTTAGATTTTGTGTATATTTAAATAAAAATTTAGACAAAATCATATTATATACAATAAATTTATATTGTATAAATATATATATATATATATATATATTTATATATATATATATTTTAATACCATGTATTTTAGATTTTGGAAAATTATGGGATATTTGCATTTATATCAAACAATATATCCGTGTTTGTATGAAATGAAAAACAACACATAAATATTTTCATGAACACAATTAGAGACCATAGTCATTTCATGCTAGATGCAAACAAACATTAATCTAATTGTTGAATTTGAATTCATATATATATATATATATATATATATATCTATATATATATATATATATATATATATATATATATATATGAAGAAAAATTTGGAAAAAAAAAACAAAAAAATCCTTAAATGCAATTATGTTGTTTAAAAAATGAATGAAATGTCGACGTCTGACGTTTCGGTTTAATAAACCTTTTTCAAGACAATATTCATTAAAATACAATTCAGTTCAATTTGACAAAGACGATGGACATAAAAAACAAGTCTTATCCAAAACAGATAACTGAAAATTTTAAAATGAATAATATTTCCGTTTTGTCATATGGTCAATAAAACGTCACGTCAGACGTCGACATTTCATTCATTTTAAACAAATATATAATTGCATTTAAGGATTTTTGTTTTTTTTTTTCCAAATTTTCTTCATTCTGTCGGATCTATATCCATTTACATTTTGCATATATATATATATATATAACATATATATATATATATATTCGTAAAATTTTCAATTTTGTTTCCGTTTAATAAACAACGTCCTCTTCTTAGTTAACAATGATGGTAATAGTAGGATTTTCTTTAAAGGATGGCAATTGGTGTGGGAATCACAACTTTTGCCGTTTTGAAACCCTTGTATGTTTGGGGGTCAAAAAGGCAAAAATATTAATTCTGCCCAAAAAAGAATGAATAAAATCCTCAAAATTCGAATAACGAGAGATTCTAAAATAAATATATATATATATATATATATATATATATATATATATATATATATATATATATAAAATTGCGTATAAAAAAAATTCCAAAAAAAAAATATCGACGAGAGGATTATTCGTATATTTACTAATATATATATATATATATATATATATATATATAATATCTATATATATACCAATTATTTCGTTTTTTTCAGGCCGTTTTTCAGTAATTAATACTTTTAATTAAAAAATCGAGTTTTGGGGTATTTTTTTTGAAAAAATTGTTCTATAAAATAACCTATAAAATTTGAAAATATATTAAATACATATTGAGGCCCATAAAGTTGCGATGGATAAAATGTCGATAAATTGTTGTCGGAAAAACACTTATTTCAATCATCATAACCCTAATTTATATTCTGGTTTATCTTCTGCCACATTATGTACCAAAAAAACGGATAAAACGTTAAACATACAACCCTGACATAAATCATAAAATTATTGCATATAGAGGTTATTCATTCATTTAGTTTTTGATATTTGTATTCAACAAAAAGCCATCCAAACAATTTAATAAAATTTTTATGAAATGTTACATTATTAAATCATTGCAAATGTCCATGTCCGATTATAAAATTAAAAAATAAAATGCCATCATAGGCACATTAATCAATATATATAACACCAAACAGCCTTTTTGAAATTTAGAACACGAGACGGGATAAGTCCACAGTGGTATATGCCATAAAATGGAAAAATGTATATAATATATATATAAATTCTTATATATGTTATATATATATATATATATATATATATATGCGTATATATATATCATTAGGACAGTCCGCCGCCGCCTCCGCGCCTACGCCCTTTGCCCGCAGTCCTTTTTCAACGACAGTTTTCCGGATGGTTCGGACAAACTGCGCGCCGGCCGAACAAATGATACGGGACGTTCTCCTCCCACACCGCCGTCCAATTGGCGGAAGCGGATAAAATTCTTAGCTAAAGACGTAAAATCCTCAACGATCAAGGAGGATCTGGCGTTACAACTCAACTTCTATGTGGTCGGCCTCCGCCGCTGGAACCGCGACTGGCTTACCAAATTTGCGACCTTATCTGTTAAACCGACGGGCGTGGGCAGCAATGGTCCGTGATGCGGTCCGTCAACAGGAAGAAATCCGGCTCAATCCTATCGGAATATACATATTTTATATGAAAAAGGCCACATAGAAATTCAGAATGCTTTTAATATGGCTTAAACAGAGAATTTACATTAAATAAAGAATATCTATTTTCGGCCGTTTACATTCATTTTCTTAATTCATGTTTATAGTTATCTATGCCCAAATATATATATATATATATATATATAAACGCTGTTCGTCTTATATATATCGATAAAATTATAGAGACGGATTTTTTATAAAAAGTTGCCCAATCTAAATTTCTCAGAGCATTAATATTATAAACTGCCGTTGATTTAAAATATGTCTTTTCTAAAAATAACTAACCATAACTGCTCCGACGAGCTATTTTTTCCTAATATATAAACTGCAGGAATATAAATGCCACATATATATATATATATTCCCACACTTTTTCACTGTCGAAACGGTTAAATATAGCAATCTCGTCTACATAATATCTCCATGTCTCGTATGTCCCGTTTCGTTTATTTCCTCTTTCTTGCTTCCTTATTAGCTATAATCTCCAACTATTCAAATGCAATGTCAATCGACATTCCAGATGCCTTGATCTATTCCCCGTTGATCTTCGTCCTTTTCCTCTTTCACGCCTTTTATTCTTAAAACCTGTTTGGTTTTCAAACCTACTGGAACCCCCTTGTAATTTGAAAATTTTATATATATATATATATATATATATATATATATAAACAAAAAAAACAGCAAGATATACAATTCTGTAAAGAAAGATATTTTTATTTTTAAAAATAGTGCCAAATTCAAATTTACATATATTAATATTATAAAAAAATGATTTAAAATTTGTTTTTGTTTATTTTATAAAAACAGGTACCATGTTTCAAAAATGGAATTTTCGATAGCCATATATTTATATATATATATATTTAAATATATATATATATATATATTTAAAAAAACAGTAATTTTTTGCTCATTTTTAACTTAAGGATGAAAAAAACTAATGTTTTTAATTTAATAAAAATTGAATTCGACGTTTTTAGATTTTTTTTTTCTAAATGGTTAAAATAAATAAAAATTAAATATTTTAAATCAATTAATTTATATATATATATATATATATATATATATATATATATATATATATATATATATTGGCAGGTAGATACATGCTTTATATAAACTCTATACGTGAAGGATAGGAGGATGAAATAAAAAACTTTTGAGAAAAAATTTCTTTTCTATATTCCATACTTTCACAATTTATTTTCCATGTAATTGTATTTTAACGTTTTTTTATCACGGATAAATAATGCTTATATGGAATCCAACTGGAAAATGAAAATGCAGCTTTTTATAAATATATATATTATCCCGTTATTTGAAACCATCTAATTTTACATATAAACATGTGAGCTGCGGCATTTGCCTTCATGCAGTGCAGTGGCGATGAAAAGGTATCATAACATCTATATGCATATT